AACCAAAATTAAAACTCCTCATCTGGCTTTCCATTAGCCATTACAACACTAAGCACAGACACTCAAGGCCAAGCATCAGTGTCTGCTGTAACTCTCAGAAATATCCCTCCAGTGTTCCAGTGAGGAAACCCCTGAGTTTTCTCAGGGCTAAATGAGTCGAGGGTCACCCTGAGCATCAAGTGCACAGTAAAACACAGTTCTCACACTGTGCTTTGGGCCACTTCTCACCTCACTAATTGCTTATTTCTTTCAACTTATTTCTTCTGAAATCTTGTTTTTCCTGGGCTCACCAAGTGTTCCTGATCATCATTTGAGCTCTCAAACTACATTTCTTCCTTCATTTTCAGAAACCTCTTTCTTTCGAGATCTCAAGTTGTGAAACAAAACCCCTCTTGATTAAATGCTCTGCTCAAACCAGTTTAGGTAAGGATAAAGCATTTCCAATGCATCCAGAATCCATACAAGGAGATGCCTGGTGTAAGAAACACATCCAGCATCAACAATCACAGGTCATTACACATTTATAAAGGTGTGATTACTTTGTAACATCATTTGGTGGTGCAAGAACTAATCCAGACAGTACTTCCTACGACCCTCAACTCACTGTTTTCTCCCTGTGCTGGAACCAAACAGGTGTCCACAAGAGCAGGGAGGTCTGTGCTGCTCAATAAGGGGGTGAGAGAGCAGAGCACCATCTGCCCCTCCATGTGCCCTCACAGGGGGCCAGGGGGGAGGAGGTAAAGGCTCTACCTGCACTTTGAGGTGTATCTGCAACACCGTGACCAGACTGTGGTGCCTCATTGCAGGGAGCTTTAAATCAGCAAGGCAGGAAGGACTTTATTTACATACCACATTGTCAAGCTCAAACTGACAACTTCTACCCTCCCTTGAAGGGCTCAAAGCCTGCCCAGGTGAGCTGCAGGAGGACAGCAGCTCTCTCAGATAAATGCTTCTCTTTAACTGAAACCAAAGCTAAGAGCAACAAAATCAGAAAAGCAGGTGTAAGTTGAAGGCAAATGGAATTCCCGGTGCCTGCCTATGCAAATACAGAAGTAATTTTAGGAGTGCTGGGAAATACAACTACAAACACGACAGCAGATGTGTGCAAAGCAAAGGCAGCTCACCTGTACAGTCCAATCAGTTTGTGAGAGTAAACTCACAGCTCCTGTAGGGGCTTCAAGCCTGTTTTCAGACATATGAAACAGAGCTTTGACTCGCTGCAAACATTTGCCACCAAACTTGCCACCAGCTTTTTGGAAGACAGCTTGATTTAGCTAAACTCTCATCACCCTTTCTGGTCCTTTGTCCTTAGAGGCACCAAAAGCCATCAGAACAGGATTTTTATCTTCTAGTACATTAATCGGAATTTTGTTGGAAAATTTAAAAAAGCAGTTTAAGTTTTGACAAGAAATGCTGTACTGGCCTTTCAGAACACGTTACAGACAAACCCATTTTAAAACACGCAAAAGATTTCAGATTGTGTGTGCTGTTATGTCTGCAACTACTGTGAATCTTGAATCATCTACCAACCAGCCACTGAAAAAACACCCTTTAGAAACTAGGCTTTTGTCCTTCAAAATTCCTGATACTCAGATGCTGTAAAAATCATTGTCTTCCTATAAACCATGCAGGGTAAAATTAGTACTACCCAGGTGCATCACTCACTAACAACCCTAACATATCACATTGAAGAAAATAAAGCTTATTATTAATGTTATTTTGCAGTATTTTCCTACTTTCCTAAGAAGAGGAAGAATTCTCATTAAGTGACTAGGACTAAAGCCTACAGACAAACAAAAATGTTAGTGTTGGGTTACAATATTGCACTTGTTCTAGGCATCAGAAGTTACTGTTGAGCTGAACCTCCATGCTGTATTTTGTGGGAATCCTGCATGCAATGAACACCCCATTTTCCACCCACACCAGCTACTCTGACAATGCACTCCCTCCCTTCCCAAGCCCCCAGCTCTGTTCAGTACACAGGGCAGACTGAGTGCATAACAAGCACACCTGTCTGGCACACAGTTCCACCTGGAGCCGTGGATTCCCGCTCCCTTCATTATCACCCACTACACCAGTTCGCTCAGCTCTCAGCCTCCAACACCAGCTATTTTAGGACAACACACCCAGTTCTGTGACACACCCACCCCTTCCACGAGGGCAGGAAGCCACGGGAGGCATTTTCAGGTCGTACCCAGAGGCCTCTCCACACCTCTCCCCACCAGCAGGTGAAAGCCCCACCAGGCAGCTCAGCAGCCCTGCAGGTACAGAACAATCCCACAGACAGGGAAACACAGATCCACACTGAGCTACAAAGCATCACTGTGTGACAGAATCGGTGAATTTTAAAACCCTTCTCTCAATGAACTGCTGGTTAACAGCATTTTTTAATGTTGATTAAGTATGGAAATGTAGATCTTTGTACTTTGATTTCAGGTGACAGTATTTACTCAGAAAGACCCAGTGGAGTTTTTATTCCCCATCCTTACAAGTTCTCTCAAAAAAAACCCAGCTGCTTGCCACATCTGGATGTCCACCCAGCTGCATGTCTGGCATTTATAACTGTACATGAGATGGCTTTAATCAAATAAAACAAAATCCATGCTCAGAAGTGTGGGGTTGTACATAGCACCACCGTGTTGAACTTCAGGTCAGAATTCAGTGTGAGTGCATATTCCTAAATTAATCCAGCTTGCTCAAGTCCTGACACAAGTGCCAGGAACCAGAGTGCACAAGCTCTGTCAGAGCCTTTGGGCAGCTGTTTCCACAGCCTTCCTGCTTGTCCCTAAGGAAGGAGGCTCAGGAGAAGGCCATGTCCCACACCCACCGGTGGGACTGACACCACACACACGGGTGTTACACATTCAGCTGGAATTCTCCCCAGTTTAAGCCCAAATTACAAGTGCTCAGCAACAGCTGAAGGACACCAACATCAAAAGAGTTCTAATAGCTAAACAGTAAAAGACCATTCCCACATCCCACCTGAGCCAAGGGAAGGGGTCAGCTCCTTCCTGCACT